AGAGAGAGAGAGAGAGAGAGAGAGAGAGAGAGAGAGAGAGAGAGAGAGAGCAAACACATATCAACTTGATCACGCATATGGCTACGGGTCCGATCAGTTCAACACAACGTCGGTCCCTGGGCGCCTCGTTTCTCAGGGCCGCCTCGTGGCTCGCCTGCTGGTGTCGTGCAGCATAAGGCAGATGGCATGCGCAGTGCAAACAGAGCTACAGATCTAAACAAGCTTGCATTCTCGAACAAAATCCTGACGACAATCGTCTAATCAACAAAAGAGTCACACATTCCATACATGCATTCACTGTGGAAGGTGCGAAAAAGAGACATGCACCGGAGAAAACGGGTCGCATTGCACACACATTCACCGTTCACAAGACAAGAAGGCGGGGTCCTTGCGTAGGAAGATTACCCAGGAAACTAATGAAAGAGTTCTGGAAGAAGTTCTTTTACACAAGGGAAGCGCACCGATTCGCTCCTACTCAGGAGAGAAAGCGAGAGACAATCAATCGAGACACATCATTATTCAAAAGTAAAGAAAAAAAGAGATGGGGGGGAAGAGAGAGAGAGAGAGAGAGTCGAGATAGGTGATGACCATGTCTTGGAAGAGAGACATTCGACATGATCGCCATGCACTCACGCCAAAGATAAAAATCCGCAACAACAAAGGCACATTCGCCATTAATTCCAATATGGCCCCGGGCCAATCACTCACTCAACTCCAATCATCGAACATCATACCCGCACCGACGATCCCAGTCGTCTCGTGCTAACTCCCACCATTGCGATCGTCACCCCGCTCTCGTAAACTCGACACGGTTCGCCCGGATCCCACAGTCCCTCGTGGCGATCAAGCGCGCAACCGGCCAGCCTATCGTCAGCCAGACAGGACTTTCCGACTCGCATGAATTCACTCTGCCTAGCCACTGCTTCCCGGAAGCTGGCTTAGGAGTCGAGAACGTAAGAAAGATTTGTGGGCGCGCTTGCGGGTTTTATAGTTGCGAAAAAGGAGATAGAAGGGGGAGAGAACGACGGGAAGGCGGGGGTGTAGGAGGAGAAGGAGGAGAAGACTTTGAGAAGAGCGTTCCGAGAACGCCATGTTGATCCCTCAGAACTCAAGGTTCAACCAATCAGATTCGTCGCGCGATAGGAAGGTCCTATCGATCCACGCACCTGATTGGCGAGCGGGAGTTATCGGGGGATCGACTGAGCGTCGTACGCCAGACTCAGAGGGTGAGAAGAGAAAAGGCGCGAGAAGTGGCGCAAGACGGGTCGAAGATTCAGACGATCAAGAAAGGGAAATGAGCGCGCAAACAGCAAGACGGGGGAGGGGGAGGAGAGAGAAAGAAACAGGTACGGGGAGAGAGAAAGAGGAGGGAGAGAGAAAGGGAGCGCGGGAGGGAGCGATACAGGGGGCCAGAGGGGAGGAAGCTTTTGCATGCATGGCGCTGTCAACAAAAAAGAGAAAAAGACACCGAAACAGTTACAACTTGCTTCTATCCTAATTCAAAATTGAAATCACTATATCCGCGCGCGAAAGAGCGATGTGGGAAAAGAAAATCCTACGCCTATTCGTATCCAAACGAAATTCCAAAAGTTTTCTCCGACGCGACCAAGAACATTCACACACTCGAAAAGGACGCGTCGAAGTTCCGCTTATCCCATAATTCCCAACCGCTGAGCCCAATTCCCAGTGTGCTCGCTAAGGCGCACGTAAATTCCCATGTATTTCCCAACTTTGAAAAAGAAAAAAAAAAACAGAACCACGAAGTCGAAAAAGCTCTCAAAAAGGAAAATGCGGCACCCTAAAGCAAGAAATCAAAATGGGGTTTTCCTGGGGTTGGTATGATATAAGCAAAAGAAAGGGTACGAACGGTGGCACGGGGTCGTGAAGTGGTTCGTCACATGCCCATGGTTTTCGGGCTTGGCAAAATTCAAAATTTGGGCTCATACATTTCGGGTCGAGTGTATTGGTGGTTTAAGTAATTGGTCTTATTTTGTTGTTCTTGGCAAGGGAGTCTTGATCCGTGATGTTGTGGGATCGGGGTCAGAGGTGTTGGAATGGATATCTCCTTTAGGGTTGGAGTCCCTCCCTGCGAGGGCTACACAAGGCGGGTGGTGTGATCTTTGAGAGGGTAGGGGCGATATTGAGGGTTTGTCATTTTTTTGGGCCACGCTGATTTTTGGGTCGGATCAGGTATGGCAGATGAGGAGAGAGGACAAGGGGTGCTGATGTCAGCAGGGTGAGAGTTGAGTGGACTGTTCCGCTTGGAGGGGGTGGGGCAGGAAGGAAGGGGGATCTTCGGATTTGTGGGTGGCATACTTTAGGGGGTACTGTACGCGACTCAGGGAGCAGGAGGGGTATTCTGGGAGCTGTTCTGAACTGGGGCGGGGAGGCGAGGGGGCGCCTTCCCCTGGAGGCAGTGAATAGACAAGGGGTTGTCCCTTGGCTCTTGTGACCCCTTTACATGTAATGGAGACTTCAATAGGCGCTGAAGTTTCCATGGGGAGAGAGGGTGATTTTTCCCTCTCTTCCCCTCTCCCTGTGGGAATAGTGGGCGCTGAAATGCTCATGTGATTTTTCGGGATTTTTTGTGCCCGTTTTTCCTGATTTTTCCTAATTAAAAAATTCTTCCAAGGTTCAGTGCTGGAGGCAGGGGGTCGTGGTGGCTGTGACGACAGGAGATGACGCGCTCTGCGGCGAAGGGGCTAGCCTGTAGGGTTGAAATAGGGTACAGCAGTGGTGGAGATGGTGGCTTCATCATGTCAAGACTTGTCGGAGTAGGGCTCAGGGGATTTTTTGGGGGATATCTGCAACCAGTGCACGAAGGAGATGAATAATGGGATCAACAGCTATGGTGCTGATTAGTGGCTTGACTGCTATTTGCCTTAGTCCTGAGTCCTGGTGGTTTCCGAAAAGACGAGGCCAGAACGACACTGGTTGGTGCTAGGGCTTGGTCGTGCTGCCCTGTAACTCGAGCTGTATGGGGGCATGAGACCTGGTAGAGAGATCTGGGGAGTTGTCGAGGGTGGAAGGCACTTAGTGTCTTTTGGTGAGCTGGTACCTAGTCGATGCCGGCCGGAGACGGGGCGGGTCGCTTTGCCTTGAGGCCTAGCAGGTGGAGTTTTTCTGGGGTGGGTCGTGCCACTCTGTAACCTAGCAGTTGGGGGCATGAGGCCTGGTAGAGATTGGGCATCGGGATATAGGGGTGAGGCAGGTAGGGGTGGGCTGCTGAAAGGCCCTAAGGCAGGTGGTTTTTTTGTTCAGAATGTTTCTTTGATCCGAACTTTGGGGGACACAGAATTTGTGTTCTTGTGTAGATTACACAGTTGTCTTTT